AGATGATATTTTTAAGAGACCTAAATTTCCAGAAAGCCTTGAATGCATATTAAAACAGTATTTGGGCTTAGAAGTAAAGCCAGGTGGACACATTTTTGTAGGTTGCTCAGCTTGAGCCAAATAAAAAGTAACTAATTAAATATCTATGAGTTGGTCAAGGGATTGACTGTACTTGAATCTGACGAGTTTAAGCTTGGTGCTGAGAATAGCAACTCACTGAACGAAGCTATAAATTATAATAACTACTATAGTAGAGGTTTTCGGGCGAGGTGCGTCCAACTAGACCGATGTGACAACACGATTAAGTTGCCAAATCGAGATCAGGCCACTTTTATAGTCAAATAATTTCCTGGAAAATCTTTGTAGTTTACTTAAGTGTTACAAGGGTTGATAATTAAGAAATCCCCGACAATTCAGACCCCAAAATAGATTTCATTGAAATTATGATCTGAAAGTAATATTAATTACTAGAATAGACTATAATCTGCAATGGAATTTGCCTTATCCTCAATCAGTAGTTGGTGGGGCGGATATCTATCTCTAAAGTAGTGCGTGAATAACGGCGTAAATTTGACTTAGTGCGACTAAGTTATTATTTAAGAATAGCTATTAATCTCGAAAATGACTCACATGGAAAAGAATATACGCATACATAAAACATTATAGCGTCTCTAAGGGAAGCTTGGAAATAGGCGGAAACAGGCTGGAGAAGTTCGAAAAATGTTACCTTTATTCTTTCAGCATACGCCAGTTGGTTGGATATTCTAGTCGAATTTTATCTAGCATTGTAGACATCATCAAAACTGAACAAGGCCATCTTTAACACAAAGCTATAATTCACTAAGAGGAAGAGCAAGGGAAAAGCTTAACTTGCCCCTGAATATTTGTAGGCTCTTGCTGACTATGTCGATTACGGCCTGGCTAAATTTTACTCTTCATATTTGATAAGCGGTCTAAGGCTAATAATTGATAAAAGTGGTAGAGGACTCAAGGCTGAGCATGTTTCTTAAAGTATAAATATAAACCCGACTAAATTGCGAAAAATAAGTAGAACTACCATCATCATGTGAAAGAAAACTACGGCCAAGCTAAAGGAAAGCCAACGAGCTTAAGATTTATGCTCTAAATCAGTGATTCCCAAACTGTGCGCCGCGGCAACCCGGGGAGCCGCGGCCTCTTTTCAGGGGCGACGCGAAATATTGTAAAAGTTTCATAATTAATTTAACCCAGACATTTGGCCTAACTAAACAAAAAGATGAGAGAAAACGCTGCGTCTTCTCGATCGCGCCATATGATCGCACTAGACACGTCGAGGTGCGTAGAACATTCGCGACAGATTTTGAATGTTCTGAAAGATCTTGCGTTGCCAGCTCGATTCAATCAGTTGATTTATAATTTAAGTGGACTGCAGTTTCGATCTCGCATCGGTCTTATCAACACCCTCAGCGGGAGTCAAACCGGGACAGTGCAGGATGGGGGCTTGACACGCTAACCACTCGGTTACACTGCCACGAGCGCTTATTGGATCACAGGGCAAATGTGAATTTTCAAGAAGGGCCAGGCCTTTTTGCAATGTCATATTCTTCTGGTGGAATTGTCGATGAAGCAAACGTTTATCTCCTATAACAATCGACAACTATACTTTATTTTTTTTGAATTAAGTATTGTTTTCGTGACTACCAGTAAAGCAGTAATATGAGATATATTCACCCAATTTCGTTTGAGGTAATGAAGGACTGGTAAAAGAAGAATTTTCCCACAATCATATAAGTTGAGCTGACGTTTCCATTCAATTTCACATGGCCTTACTTTCCCAAAAGTTGTTCTCATCCTTAAACGAAATCGGGTGAATAAATCACATACTGAGAATCTACTTTATTTTTCGAATTAAGTATTGTTCTCGTGACTACCAGTAAATAAGTAGTATGAGATGTATTACCCCAATTTGGTTTAAGGTGATAAATGACTGGTAGAAGAAGAATTTTCCCACAATCATATGAGTTGAGCTGACGTTTTCATTGAATTTCACATTGCCTTGCTTTCACAAAAGTTGTTCTCATCCAGGGTGGACTGCAGTTTCGACATCGCATCGGTCTTATAAACAATACTTAATTCAAAAAAATATAGTAATGTTAATAAAGTAAAAAAAATAATGAAGATACACGAGTTTTATATATTTTCTCTCTTACATACGAACAGTCATACTTAGAGTAGAGCGCCATGAAAAAAATTTAAATGAAAAAGGGCGCCGCGACTAGGAAAAGTTTGGGAACCACTGCTCTAAACAGTCTCTGATTTTTGGACCAGTAAGGAGACAAAATGAAAAGTTATGTAAAGGGTGTACGCCAAGGGAGTAAATAAATTAAGGGATATTAAGGGATATTAGAATAAAATTAATACACTAGTAAATAGAGTAAAATATTCTATATGAAGTAAGCAAAGAGTATGCATACATAACCCTAATCAAAAATTTCGGATAGTATTCTTTAAGAAGGATGGATTCCAGCTTGGGCTTCAGATCATCTAGCGGTCTTACAAGAGTGGTGAGAGGGTAAATTATCGCGAAAATATAATTAAAATATAATGGCGAACGACTTGATATTACCTTCTTTTTCCTTCAGTTCTCCTAGCTCTGACTGCCACTCCTCACCGTCCTCCTTCTCAATTTCGCCTTCACTAGCAACACCAGTAGAAGGCCTAAGTGAAGTCATCGCTTCCGGATAGAGATGCTTACTAATTGTGCGGGTTGAAAGTGAAGTTTGCGAGACACCGGCAAGGCCCTCAAGCCAGGAGATTTTGTCACGAGAGAGACTAAGGCTGCTGCTATCAGAGTTCTGAGGTAAATTTGACGAATTATGATGCTTCGGTAATGTAGAAATTCGTGTTTGCAACTTTTGCTGGCTGTTGGACTGTTTTACGAGATTTGGACGAGTGATAGGGACACTTGGCCGGCTAGAGCCTATGAAAAAGTCAAATAAGGAATGTTACATTTAAGAGGATTCATCGACATTATATGTGGCCATTACATAAAGTATAGAAAATTCATAAAGCTCGCTTCAAAATGGTCGGAATGGAGGATTTTTTAATTCGTATTACCATCTTGGTTGAAAAATACATAAAAGAC